CACCCCTCACCCACCCACCAACCCAACCCCAACCCTCGACTTTTCACCCTCCCACCCTAAATAAAAATATTATTTAGAGTACTTTCTTTTCATGTTGTAAATATAGTATTTTCTTTTTCATTTCAACGTCTTTTCATGATATAAAAAAGTATTTTCTTTCATTTTATTTTAACAAAATGAGCACTTTCTTTAATTTTATGATGAAAAAATATTTTGTTTAATTGTAGCAAAATGAGTATTTTCTTTTCATGATGTAGAAAAAATATTTTCTTTCATTTCAATAAAATGAGTTGAGTACTTACTTTTCATATTGTAGAAAGAGTATTTTTGTTTTGTTTCAACAAGAAAAAGAGTATTTCTGTTTAGTTATGGAGCTCAAATTTCAACGTTGTTCTTGTGTGAAAAAATAGAGCAACACATTAGTTCATTTGGGTTTGTGTGAATTTAAAAAAATAAAATTAAATTTTTGAAGAAAATAAAATCCTGAAAGCATTGGGTATTTTTGAGAGGGGGAGAGGAGGAGCACAGGAAAGACGGGGATTTTGGGGGGGGGGGGGGGGAGTGAGGGAGTGAGTGAGTAGAGTAGCATATAGAAAATTATTTTTCTAAAAAATATTTTCTACTCTCTAACCAAACACTAAAAAATATTTTTCAGAAAAAGTATTTTACTCATCAACCAAACATAAAAAAATAAGTTCTAAAACTACTCATTATCCAGAAAAATATTTTCCTTGTACCAAAAACATCCATAATGTCTTAGTTTTTTTCTACTCATACAAGGTCAAAGAGTTTTGTGTTTTACTCAAAAAAGTGCAAGGAAGCATAGTATAACTTGTTACATGAAGCTCCTGTTCAAGATATATTGTCATTTGTCTATTTAATTAGTGATTTCATTTGTTGCAAGGAAGAGAATTTGAGCCCGTTTGGATTAGCTGATTGTAAATAGCTGATAAGCTTGTAGTGCTGAAAAGTTTTTTTAAATGCTGAAACTGATTTTTAAAATAAGCATTTACGTGTTTGGATAGAAGTGCTGAAACTGATAATAAGTAGTTGATGTGTTTGATTAAAAAATGCTGATAAGCTATTCTTTTGTTAAAATGACTAAAATACCTTTAAATCTTTTTCAAAAGATTATAAATTAAAAATTTCTTTGTAAAGAAAAGAATTAATAACGAATATGGAATGAAGAGAAAGTTAAGAAATTTATTTTGGGAAAAGTATTTTGTGAATTAGAAAATATTATTAAGGATAAACTAGTAAAAGTGTTGGTCAAACTAAAAGTGCTTATAAGTTGAAAAGCCATAAGTTGGGGGTGACCGGCTTATGACTTATGGCTGATTTTAGCTTATAAGCACTTTGAGTGTTTACCAAACGCGTAGATAAGCTAAAAGGTGCTTATAAGCCAGTTTGACCAACTTATAAGCTTAGCCAAACACCCTCTTTGTTGTACAGGGAAATGGTGACGCTAGCTGTAAAAATCAGTTTATTTTGAGAAATGCTTTTTCTTGAAAGTGCTTTTTTCAAAAGTACTTTTGGTGAGAAATAATTTGTGTTTGGCTAATTAATTTGAAAAGCACTTCTGAGCAGCAATTAGTGTTTGGCCAAACTTTTAAAAACTGCTTCTAAGTGTATTTTTCTCAAAAATGCCTTTGGAGAGAAGCTATTTTTTCTTCTTCTCCAAAACTCCTTCTGTTTCTCCTCAAAAACATTTTTTTTTCTTCTAAAAGCTTGGCCAAACACTTAAACTTTGAAAAAAAAGTATTTTTTAAAAATAAAAAAATGCTTTTAGGATTGAAGAAGCTATGACAAACAAGCTATGAAACAGGGCACCTATCATATATAGCACACATAAAATTAATATATTCAAAGATATATCTTAATCTTGGTTAATTTAGTTACTAAATCACGCCAGCTTTAGTTGGAATTATCTTGTCTGTTTAGAAGAACACGTGGATTTAAAATAGTGACTAATTTTTGTTTAAGTCCTGGTGCAATCCCCGTTTTACGTATTTGTTTGTCCATCATATGTTTAATGTTTTGATGATTGTAAATAGTTTATTTACTAATTTAAAAGTTTCTTATAATGACTAAGATTAGTTAAATGACTTTGACCTTTTGTTATGGGGCATATAAGTATTATGCTTATAGTTTATGTGCCCATTTTAAAGCTAATCAATATTTATTTAAATTGATTACCTTTTTTATGCCTTGTGCTAGGAGTTGCCATGTATCTTCTGTATTTGATATAAAAGGAGATGTAAAATAAGTTCTTGAATCCCACAAAATTGAGTGATTAAACTGTAATGACATCTATTTAGTCTAATTACACATTAAAATGGTATCCCAATTCCACAGAAAGGTAATTATTTGATAATATCAATTGGAACGATAGTAAATCTTTGGTTTGAAAATTGTCCTATGCCCACATGTATGGATTTTCTAGTACTATTTTGGTTTACTAGTGTTCTAAAGTTAAAAGTAAATTTTATGCATGAGTTACAACCTCTGCCATAGGAGGTCTAGAATTACTTGAATCGATACTAAACAATTCAGTTTGATGGTTTGTACTTCATATATAGATCAAAATATGCGTGTTCTTGTTATGAAAATTTTATAACTTTTCATACTGCCAAATTTTAATGGGAGTAGACAATATTCCTATGCTTTTCAGTGACATAATTTTGAGTGAAAGGAGAAAGTTCTTATCACATTAGGGTGTTTGGAATTGGACCTTGCACTCCTTGAACACGAAGTGAAGAACTACCGATTCTCACAAAGTTGCCGATCACTTAAGTTTGATGCCCATAAAAGCCCATATTAATGAGAGTATTAGGGGTTTCAATAAAATTAATGTTCACATACTGGCAATTGATGATAATTTTTGTAAGCTTTAATTATAAGACATCCACCCTTATGAAGAGTCACCCAAGTATGACTTTTTATATAAGTTGTTCTATGCGAGAACACATTATGAAGATGAGATTTTATATAAGTACGTTGTTCTATGCCATAACATATATATTATGGAGATGAGAGATGTTGCTGCAAATTTTGATTAAATCCATTGAGATTGACACGTTGAAGTCATTTCTTGTGCATTTCATTCTTAACTCTCTTTTGCAGAATATTGTATGTTTAAGATTTCTTACGACATATAAGTTATTGGTCAATTAATACAACTTTTATCATGTATTTTCACAAAGAAGAGAGGTTGATACATGAGACGTATGAGAATGTTAATTTGGTGGTCGTGATAAGGAAAAGACAAGAAAGGGCAGATATGTTCCCAGGAGAAGAATGTTTGCTTTTGCTGGAAAAAGAAGAAGAAAGCACACTAGCCTTTGTTCTAAAGTTCTTTCTTGTACTTTAGACTCTTTCTTCTAATGTTCATTTTTTTTTTTAGAAAATATGACAAACGTCTTTATCGTCTATTCTTTTTCACGAGAATACTTTTGCCTTTTGTAGCATTTTTCTTATCAAAAGTCTCCAAATTAATACTTTTAGGTGTCTAATGTTTCAAATTCTCTTCTTGAACACACGTGATCGAAAGCTTATTGCTTAACCACTTTTCTTTATGTGTGTTATAAGAAATCTTAAACGAGCATATTACACAAGAAAGAAATGAGAATAATTTTTTTAATAAATGACTCAAATATATCAATTTCAAGGGACTTGAGTTTAGAAGCTGCATATCTCTAGATCTTTGGCGGGAAGTTCATTAGTTACCGACATAATTACCAAACCACCGTATGTATGGCATAGAGTTCGATCTCTGCCTGATTGGTTAAGCCACCTTACTATAATGTCGTGTGGGTCAACATTCATTTTCATTAATTCCAACCAAGGAAGACTATCTAATTATCCAAGCAATATTACGATAATTGTCCTATACCAATATGTATAGTTTTGGGTATTAAGAACCTTTGGCCAATACCTTCTTATTTACATTAGACTTCCAAAATATTTCATTAAATTTGACATCTTTGGCCCTTTCAAAATAATTGATACCTTTGGCCCTTAACATAATCTTTAAATTAGGCTTAATAGTCTGCCACGATCCAAAATCCCACCAAGTCGTGATGGCACCTAACCCAATCCGCTAGGTAAGTCAAATAACAAATAACACAACTTGAATGAAATATCATCAATAATCAAGGAATAAAATAGCTAAATTTCATATAATATTCCAAAGATGGTAGTACAAGTCATGAGCCACTAAGATTTAGATTTACAAAGCTGATAGGAAGAATAAATATAACATTAGTTTGAATACATAAATAGAAGGACAAATCTTAACTACAAAGAATAAGTGGTAGCTTATATTTAGAACACGAGTACATCTTCAATGTTAGCCTTCGTCACCCACAATAGTTCCGCTCCAATATCTGAACGCAATGTGCATAAGTATAGTATGAGTATAACCGACCCTATGAACTCAGTAAGTACCCTGATTAATCTTGGCGAAGTAGTAACGAGGTTTCAGGTTAGGGATACTCACTTTATGTAATATGTACAACTTAACAACATATACATGTACCCATCAACATAATCGAAATCTAAGCATAAAATACATGTACAACCAATTAGTGCACATAGAGAAGATGTGCAAAAGTCTTATAACAATTCAACATATAGAGAAGATACACATTTGATATCAGATAACACGTCAACAATTGCATATAGAAAAGATATGCACAAGTACTGTACTAGTTTTACAGCTCAACATATAGAGAAGATATGCATATAACATCATTAAAATCATCGAAGATTTCATATAGAGAAGATATGCATGAAATATCAAATAATCGTCAACCATTGCATGTAGAGAATATTTGCATAAAATATCAAGTCAA